ACCCAAAAACTCATAATTTGATTCATAATTTACCTATTAGTACCAGGCGAGCCCATCCCCCCCTCCCTCCACTCCCCATTGTGACCCTTCTGTAGCTATTTCCTTCATTCGTTGAGTTCCTGAACTGGGGCTTAGATATGTTTTATATGTTTCAGCTCGCATAGCTTCAATGTAAACTCAGCGTGCGCGAGTAGGTTCCTGGCTAGCTAGGACATCGAAAGCGTCCCGCCATCCAAAAACGTCGTGCCTCATGTCCACCTAAAAAACCTAAATGTCTTACGTTTTCCTTTTTCACCAACTGTATGTCGCTGAAACGCTGCACATCTCTTTTAACTGATGAATGCACGCTATTTGTGCTTACAATGCGACCGAGAATTATTTGCGAATGAAGTAGTCGGCGAAAAAAAACTGAAGGTCACGTAAAGACAACCCCAAATTCATTCTGATTTCTTTACTCACAAATCCACCATTGCCTGATGTAAACAAGTGCTAAGCTGTTATTGTCAAAGCCAAGTTTGTTCTCAGTACAATGTAAAATCCAACACTCATTCCTTCTCTAGGGAGATTTTGCAATGTCACCAATGCAATGATGCAATGACATGTATTCTATTTTGTAAACAATTTTACTGGAGGCTGCTGTGTTTTTACGATTACTGTATTTCTACCGGCTTCTGAATGCATTCATCGATTCATTATGCTTGAGCCAAAGCATTTCAGGTATTTCCCTACAGGTACAAGCTAAATAGAAGCACAATGCACATTTGTACGTGAAAGGGTTAATATTGCTTTCTTCTTGCATTTACAAATATAACATTCTGAGACTGGATTCTTAAGGACTACTTGCTCTGGGGCATTAAAAAAGTTAATTATAAATGAAAGCAGCGGTTTATTCCTCTGTAATAAGCGCTTTTAATATTTAAAAACTACACTTTTATAAATCTCTGCAGAGGCTTTGGCCTGTAAGTGCCAATGTGGTTTTATCATAAATTTTGCAAAGTAACATTACAAGAAGGGAGGGGGGGGGGGAAAGTCCAATATATAATAAATAACAACATATTAATGAATATTGTATTGTAAATGCACTCCTTCAGGAGATTTTCATTGTATGCCGGCTGACATATTTGGAGCAAACGGAAGCCCGCTGAGAGCCACGTAAGGCGGCATTTAAGTCGAGGGAGACTTGGCAAGGCCTCAAGGGTGACGGCCCCCTCGGGGGTAACACCGAGTCATTGGTGGTGTCACTTTGGCATACCCCCCTGTCGCCGGCTGATACTGAGGCACACTCAAGACCGAAGTGTGCTGCGCGTTTCCGTATGCGAGCACGGCAACGTGAGTGCCCGGTGTGCGCCAATCGTGCCCTGCCGTGTCTTGGAGCGGCGCAGTGTGCCGTCTGCGCACGCTGCCTTCAGGCGGGATTTCTTTTGAACTTGCGTGGCAAAAAAAGGGTCACCCAAGGTAGTAGGTTCAGGTTGAGGACAGCGGACATTGATTTTTAGCACAAGCCAACCCTCAAGGCAATACCCTTGGACCCATGGGACACAGCCATACCTATAGGGCCTTCTATCAATACAGGGTCTCATGCGTCTATCATCCCCAATTGCAAGAGCCACTGTGTACGACTGAAAGCCACCTCATGTATTATTGCCCTTTTGATGCTGGTTTCATTTTACTCCCTTGAAGCTTCAACCCTTAATCTCCCCATTGAACAGGCGATACGCTAACTCAAGACAAAAAAATATTTCTTCTGGGTTGTGGATTTAACTGGTGAATTGATAATATTTTCACATTCGATCGGATACCGGAATACAGTGTTGTTATGTATCCCCCTCAGCAATCGCGTTTGTGTGACGACGTCCTTGTGCGGATGCATTCGTTGTCACATTTCGTCCTAAAGAAATGAGTAATTTCACTTTAACACCGTCCGTCGGTGTCTTTCAACGTGAACAAGGCTGTCTGTGAACAACAACAAAAAACTTCCAATTTATGCCCCTGCATTCACAGGGTCACGTGTCAGCCTGCGTGTTGTTGTTGTTATTGTTGCTCCATGTGCCTGCGTAAATGTGTGTTCTATTTTGTGAAAGGCATCGTATTAAGAGAAACAAAACAAAAAAAACCTGCCCTCCTGGGGATTTTCTGCATGAGGAGTTTGTGTGTGTGTTGCATTTTAATTATTGATAACTCTTCAGTTGCCAATGTTTTGCTGATGCAAGATTGAAATTGCCTCCATCTTTAATACTTATTTCCTGCCAACCTTGTGTGACCTCATAATGCTTTCTATATAGCGTGCTGTATAAAATCACATTCCATTTGTTATATTTAATTAGGCCTTTATAATTATTTAGGAAATTATAATAATTTTCAACAGCTTCATTACATTGCCATATTTTTTTCTTCCCATATTAATGTTGAATACGTGTTCCTGTAGAGGAATGGCACGGTGGTTAGCACACTGGGCTTGAATTTTAATTCTAACCATGGCTAACATCAGTGGCGAGTGACATTTTAACCTGTCTGTCTGGGGTCCTTTTTTCGCCAACATTCACGAATCGGCGTGGTGAAGTATGGTCACAAAAACCCTCGTGACTTATACAGCTTGGGAAAGGCTTTTTTTGGCAGTGGATTGACATAGGACTTTTTTTTGTTATTTATCGTTTGCTTTGTGGCGTTCTGACCCCTTCATATGTACTTGGCGTTGGACTGTTCTTTATGTTAGCATGACCTCTGTTCTGAATGGCAATGTGAACTTGAAACAAATCTCAGTCTATAAAAAAAATGTCATTAAAAACTGACATGAAATGGACTACAATAAATATTTCATAAATGTGGCATTTTTCTGACAATCCATAGAAATTTAACCATCTCTCTAGGCTGTAAATATTTTATGAAAAAGCCAATACAAACAACAATGTTATGATTTAGAAGGTCCCCCTTAAGTGTTGTGGGTGGATTGCTGAAAGTATATATATTGATCAACAAATGTTTTGTGTTCTGCAACACCTGCAGGATATCAAGCGTCGTTACAGTGGAAAGAGAGATACCAGATGACCAATTGAGATCTATATTCGCTTGAGAGTTCATTGACTGACTGTATTTACAATTTCATTTTCTACAATTATTTTCTTCTCAAAGCTGTGTGCGAGGGCTTCACCGAATGATTCACCAGTAATGCTGGGAATTTCTAAACTCTAGATGGTGCCACATATATTTTGGTAGTTTATTATCCTTCACAGCATAACACATTTATTCCTGTCTCTTGTTGTGTTGGGAGACCACGCATAGCCAGGTGGTCATGTGTATTTTCTTAAGTGTGATCTTGGTGGTGTTATTTATTTGTTCTTGTTGCAACAATTGAAATCCCTCATTATTCAAGACATGTTCATATACATCCCTATATACATCCCTGTAACTAACCTATGCCAAACTAAATAGATCATTACCCTCTTGAATAAGCTATCCCATGCATGCGCTGTTTTTTTGTCGTTACACTGCTGGATGAGGGACTCCCCATGCGTCGCATCTCAAGGGGGTTATTTGACCATATTTCACCACACTGGTCATGAAGGGTTGTTTAAGACAGAAAGCGCTGACGTGGTGGCAGTACAACAATAGATTTTTGTTCCACTTCTATTTGCTGCCCACAAATAGGCCCACAGTGGCCCAAACATATAACTATTTGACATAATATAGTTTTTTTTGGGGTTAGATCGCGTAACTATGAATGTGTCGTTAAACCCGCCACCACCCGACACAGCCAAGTAGAAAGGTTTGTCACGTAAACAGAACATGTCAGTTCATTACTAGTACAGCACACCGGTGTGTTGGAGAGCAAATCCACAACATTTACAATCTGAGTACGACGTTTCGCCAGTAATTATAACTTTCTTCATCAGGTGACAGGTTTAACGACACGTTTATATTAATGCGATCTAACCCCCCAAAAAACCTATCTGGATGATATTGGTCGCGAAAGCCTACGTGTTAAATACTTTAATTACTATAATACTGTGGACATTATCTGGATGTTGTCAGAAAATAGTCCAGTATAAATTAGAATTGTAATTGTTGTGCAATGCTTCAAAATATTTTAAGCACAGGAGGGAGTTGAGAAAGTTATGTTCATTCTCTTGGAGAATCTGCTGGAGTTGTGCACTTGAGCATTGTATTAATGGTGGAAATAGCATCCCAAGAGGCAGTCTTCTTCATGACCTAGGGTAGGGCCACCTATACCAAATCTCGCTTATCTTTGTGAGGTAGATTGAGGTGGGTGTGGGAGTGTTTGAAGCGTTGGGAGCTTGATGGAATCTGGGTGCCGATGGACCAAACAGCAAAGATGTGGACATGCATCTGCAATATTCCATAAACCTCTCAGGTGAAATGGGGTCACGAGGTGAAAAGGATTCCTGGTAAATCACGTGGTCCTGTATTCTGGATGAAGTCCCAGAAATAAGATGAATTAATTGTTTTTTTTTTGCACTGGATATTGAGTGCTGGCAAAGTATCTTATAAAACTGCAAATTGAAATGAAATCCATTAACCTCCGTTGCTAAATCATAAGGTACCTGATTATAGTGACTTGAAACATGGTGCTACAATTGACTAATGTTAATGACATGTAAAACGTTTATTAATTGCATATTTTCATGTAATTGTTTACATTTTAAATTCTTCTGTTTACAATTGTTATTTTTTAACTCAAGTCAAAAACTTATTATTTTTTATTCAAATTATTTGTATTTAAATTAGTTAGAGTAATTTCGTCACGAGGCTAGTTTTGTGATAATTCCAATAAAAATCATTCACCGTAGTATTTGAAATGTATTTTCTCTAAGGGCATAATTAGATGAAAACAATAAGCAATAGTGTGCATTCGCTTTGAAAAAAACAAGCTTTATTTCATAACGTATTTGATTTATAATAAGGATGGAGTTTTTATTTGTTTTAAAGGCAAAAATAGTTATAAGCATTTAACCCTGACACTCTCTGTGTTTGTCTCTTCACAGCCAAGCAAGCAGAAGTGCTGGACTTACCAGACAAGCCCTCTTCCAAGAAAAAAATAAAGGAGCTCAAAGTCTTGGATCAAAAATCGGGGCAAAACCTTTGTGAGAATACCACTCTTCAATGTAGAATCATTTCTCACGAGAGTAATAAGAAATGTTTCTTATGTCTTCGGTCTGTTGAACACGTGGTTAACATTTCTTTTGCACCGTACGTAGCCAACCGTGCTAATTGGAGGTGCGGGGTGGGGGAGAAGGACAACAAACTGTACACAATCTAATGATAATGTCTGCAACATTTTTGTCTGTGTCTTCCTACAGTTTATATCTACTGATTATTTAAGGTGCTGAAAATGTGGTGTCATTGACTGTGGTCTGAAGGACGTTGTCATGACCCCCCCCCACCATCATTCCTCCCTCCACCATCTCCCCCCCCCCACCTTTTCCTCTAAATGAATGTACATTAAAAACGCATCTTTTGTTGTAGACAGATTAGAAGGGGGAGGACAGAGTACCACTCTACGTGCTGTTTTTTTAAGGGTTAATCTGTGTTGTGTGAGGCTGACGAGAGAATGGCCCGGGGCCTGTGGGCAGCAGCAGCAGCAGGTGATCACGGCCTCATTAGATCTGCGTTGCCTACATAAGAATGATGGTGATGAGGAAGGCGATTGCTTGAGTTTGGACTTAAATGATGGTAAAACCTCAATAGGTCCACAAATCACGGTACATTTTCAAGTGTTACAGCCACAAAAAGCCAAGTCGTGGAACGTAATGAGATATGACATTGGAGGCATTTGTTTAGTTAAATGCTTTTCGTATCTAATGCTAATTTTTTGACAAAATGTATTTTGCATAGGCAAATACAAAAAAAATACGATTTTCAAATGCTGCACTGTTGTTGCACATTATACCGCCATATAAAATGCACAAACATAGCTGAATATAATTACTTTGGTGAACTTGTCAGTTTTATTATGCTCAGTCCTCACAGAGTGTTTCCATCTACTCTGCCGCTGCTGCAGCTATCTTTTTAGGAACACTGAAGATGCCCTACACAGAAATTAAGAAAATAATTCTGGAGGTGAATGAAGAAAAGATCACGGAGTCAATGATACAGGTGAGGTGACAAAGCAGCATGTGTACTTTGAATAATTTGACCTTTCCAATGTCACATTCCTTGCAGTGACCTTTAGTTCTCCGATTAAATTGTCAGATGATATATATATTTTACATCTTATGTATAGGTAACGTGTAATGTAAAAATAACTGGCTGGTCCTTCAATAAAGCCTCCAGAGCAGATGTTGCACTTCTTGGAACCTCATGACCAAATTAGTCTGATTTCCCTCGAGGCGCAAGTAAAAAAAAGGTAAAAGATGGTAATGGGGGAATTTTACCACAAGTCCTGACAGAAATGTCTAAAATCAAACGTCTTTGCAGTCATTTTAAGGAAACACGCACGCACAAAAACCAATCACGGGTGAACAGAGTGCTGCACTGTAGTATGTGTGAGAGGGTGAGAGAAGGTGGCAGCTACAAGACCAGTCAAATATAAATCTACTCGTGTGGATGGCACAAATATATTAACTGCCTAACAAGTATTTTGTATGGCAGGGAAAAAAAAACTAGTTTATTAGATGAAGAGATATTTCTCGGTGTCCTTTTAAAATTGCGTTAAACTGTTTTGAATCCTCCAGCCAATCTAGAATTTTTTTTAATATGCATTTGGTTACTAAGTTGTTCTATCTAAGCGTGTGTTGATGTCTGCTTGTCAGCATGGTACGCTGCCCCCGCAGGAAGTGTCAAGTCATTGGACAAAGAGGCATATTCCATATAAATCATGATGTGGAATTTTTTTTTAATAACCATACATCTTCATATCTAACATCCATCACATGTGGAAGATGGCTCTAGCGGTAGTAACCATGGTAGCAAAAGGGATAATATTTAATTGGCTACAGTTTGAATGATTCCCTTAGCCAAGTTTCGTCTCATCAGGATGGTGCAAATTAAGATTGATTTAATTAGTTGCCGCACCACTTGTGAAGACAAACAGCCTACATTTCTTCTCCTGGTTGGTCATCTTTCTCCCATCTGGCGGGAATGTTTCTGTGCACCATGGGGCCCCGTAACCCACCCTCGTAAGCCATGCGCTTGACGATTTATTGGGGCAGCACGTGCTCACTGTTAGGGCCATGCTTATTCTTGTTCATTCGCTTGTTTGTCTGGGAAACGCAGACATTCAGCGTGTGGGCCAAGCCTTAGTGTGCCTTTTATAATGTAACTCAAACTGATTAAACAAGGATAGGTGGACAGGGAACCATGTAAAATCAAATTAATAAAAATGCACTTTATAAATGACCGACTTTACATAAAATTATTCTGGAATTTAAAAATCTTTATTTTAAGGAATGCTTTTGGTGTCAATTTATCGATCGATTGTGCATTCGATGGCTAAGATGTATTATTTGAAGCATAAGTAATTGATTTTAGGTGTACTGTCTTTTAAGCATGATCGTACCTGGACGTTCATCCAAATATTTATAGTTAATACGCTATCATGGGAAAGCCGTATTTGAGGTCATGTATTTCAATGACCACTCACTCGTGTGCCATTGAGGTGTGTGAGGTGCTAAAGAAAGACAGAAGCACATTTCCCAGAGGAAAGCAGGCTTGAGTAAAACAGTGAAGCAGTCGGTGATTGTGGTCGTGCATGGATCCATGAGCGCATGTTCGTCTGCGTGTGCATCCTTTTCACGCTGCAACTATTGTACCAATGCATGCTTATTGTGTTTATGTGTGCGAACGTGATTTTTGGATGAAAATATTTCCACTTGCGTGTGGATGTGAGCGACCAGGACAAATTTCTTACCCTGGCAATCACATTCACAAAATCAGAAAGAGGGCAACACTTCCCTCGCCCAAACACTAATTCATCGCCTTAATCTTTACTGTAAACCTCACCTAACCCTAACCCATACTAGTTAAGGAACTGGAATTAAATGCTGGGGTCAATTCAATCTAGAGGAGGTGTCAAAATTTGGGCTTGCTTTCTGGATTTCCCATAATTGGATGAACCTTATAATAATGGGGTCCCAATTCCTGACTGGTCCTGACCTTCACCAAAGTGAATACGCACGGGAGTGTGTGAGTGGACTTTATGTTGATGTATGCGGGCATGTGATACGTACAAAGACGTCGCTAAATCCCATTCATACTCTTGGCCAACATTAGTGGCGAATATCTGAACTGGTCCTGGACCTCCCCTAGGTCAACTCAGCCTTAAACGACCACTTGATGCAGCGTGTAAACATCAGCACTGGGGAGACAAAGGCCACCGGGCAATGTTGTGGGTGTGCAGTGCAGGCCTTAATAGGTACTCGCTAACAGAACTTTCCTCCCAACAGCTTGAAAAGGCTCTATGGGGGATCCGTTGTCTTTGTGTTTGCCGCCTGATTATAGCTGAACTCTCGCACACTGTGCGCGTATGGAGATCACCGTGTGTGTGTGTGTTCACGGACCCCTACCTGAACAGAACCTGATCAAACAGCTGCCCGAGGCAGACCAGCTGGAGGCTCTGGCGGGCTTCAAAGATGAGTACGATGACTTGGCAGAGGCCGAGCAGTTTTCTGTGGTGGTGAGTTATTTTGGTTCCCCATTAAGCTAATAAAACCTTAATTAAACAATTAGCCAAGAATTGCATTGTGGTCATTACCGCCATCATCAAACAATTAGGCAGGAAAACTGTTGCCATCAACACATTATTAAATGTATTCTTCAAAGTGAATTATGTTTTTTTTTGGCTCCTGGGCATATGTATGTATATACACTTTTATTAACTCGTGCTCGATGAAAATGTCACATCTGAGTTGTTTGGTTACATCAGTTGCATGTTGTGCTTATGAAAATGACACAGTATTATACCCTTCTTGCCAAAGAACAGGTGATGCGCTGGTGTGCTCAACTTTGCTAAAGACGTCGATACAATTGCTTCTCTCTTCCAAATGCAATGCATTTGCCCATTTGGGAAAAGTATAATGAAATGCTATGCACTTGTCCATGGGCCCACTTAGAGAATCCCCTTTGATAAAATGACCTCTGCCTAAGATAAAAATATGCATTCAACTCGTGACGTTCTGGCACGTGACCAGAGTGTTTCTCTTGCCAGCCGTGATTCTAACGGTAACATTTTAACCTCATTACTTGTTTTAAATATAACGCGTCGAGGATTTGTGCTTTCAGTGTAATGGCATGCGACTGAACGTTATATTTGAGAAAGCTGGGGTTATTTATTGTTTGAAGCTTTTCACACTGCATGAAAAGACAAAGTAACAAAAATCTGCTTTATTTTCTGGTTACGTGCTATCTTTCAAGTTTTCTTTTTACATATTTATGAATTAAATAACTTAATCAATGAGTTGTATAACTCCCTTGGAGAAAAAAGTAGTTCTCAATGCATCAATGACCTTCGTAACGTTTAAATGACCAAGTTATTTTTCAAACGCGTTACGTGCAATTTTAAATGAAAAATTAGAGCAACTGCTGTTTGGTTCTCATGGTTGTTCCATAACACATTTCTGCAGAGGGAGCTGGTAGGAAACGTTGGGTTGCTCGGTCAATGGCGGCGTGGTGTATTCCGCAAATATGCCCGACTGTGAGGGCGGGCACAAGCCGGCGTGAGTAGGTTAAACGTTGAGTTTTATAAGGGCACCACGGGGTGACCAGCCCCTCCCCACCCAGCCCCATCCCTCCCACCCCCCAATCAGCCCCTCCCCACGCTCCCCACCCAGCCCCTCCCCACCCATTTTTGGATGCACGACGAACGAACGGACACAATAATCCCCTGTGGGCTGGTGTAACCAGGAGGTTCCTACCAGTATAATTATCGTATAGCTCTCCGATGTTGTACGGTTTGTTCCGCATGCTGCCCGACACGACATCCGATGTTCCGCTTCACATGCCGGGAGCTTCGGGAAGCCGAATTTTGAACTTGCACTGATGCAGTTGTTCACTTGCAAAACAAACTCCCATCGATTGAAAACTCATTTCTTGAGAACTGCTTTTTATGTCTAGTTTGTTTGTCTGCACCCGCACCTGTGATTCTCAAGATTGGCTACGTGCGGTGCGAAATAAATTCAACATGCACACATTTGTAAATACACCGTGTGGAGCAGAACGGCGGGTATCTTGCTGATAAAGCACGCAGTTGGACCCGGAAACGCATCGGAGAGCCATTGTTGCGGCTCTTAATCAGTTTTCTAATCGCCACCAGAATTAGAATATTTATTAATACTGGAGGAATCCGATGAGCTATAAAGCCCCTTTTCACAGATGTCCAGTAGGGGCGGCTCAGAACGTTACAACAACAAACAAGAAACATAAACACGAGTGCAAAGTGTAGGAAAGATAAACAAATCACTTAAAAAAAATTCAAATAAAATGTATTTTTTATCTTGCCAGGTCAAAGCTTACGGAGGAGGTATGAACTTATTTTTCAGAAGCGACCTGGCATATCACAAGTGGCCGATGTCACCGTGCCCGAATTCATAGCGATGGTTCCACTGCGCACAGATCGGCTCGGTGACGCGACTGCGCTCCCGCCTCACGGCCATCCAGTTCATGCTGCAGTTCGAGGAGCAGGTGTCCTCCGTGAAGCCGGACGTGGTCGCCGTGACGGCGGCGTGCGAGGAGGTGCAGCAGAGCGACGCGTTCAGCCGCCTGCTCGAGATCGTGCTGCTCTTCGGCAACTACATGAACGCCGGATCGCGCAACGCGCAGACCTTTGGCTTCAACATCAGCTACCTGTGCAAGGTCGAGCAACTGTCACGCGCGTGTGTACACACACACGCGCGACCATGTACACACGAGCGCTCTTAACCCCTGGTGTTCAGGTGACCCGAGGATGCGCCCAGTCCTTTGCGTGCTGCAGCAGTTGCTGCTCCTTTGGTGCACTTTATTTTTGTAGGGGCTTCCTGGCTTTTTGCTTTTTTGCCCCATCTTTAATCACCAACTCTTGCTTTTTATTATTCAATACAGTGTCAAGTGCAACACCTCTGCTACTGCTGGAGAAAGGAATTGCTCTAGTAATTTTCAACCAGTGTAGATATTTTACTTGGCAAAATAATTATGAATAAACTAAAGGAGCAATGGAAATGATGCATTCCTGATTTAAGCGAGAAGAGTATTTCAGCAGCTTTCTCCATTTAATTTCTATTATTTTTCCATTCAAGGTCATAACTAATAATCTATATTTTGTGTGCATTGTACGACTGTGTGTGTATGCAGGCATGCACGCCATGCATCTGTATATGCCTTCCTATATATCTGCTCATATACATATATAGTAGCAAATAATCAGGGATTGTGGCAGTGAGCGCCCATCATATTACAGCAGTGTAATTTATAAAGAAAAATTGTATTACGGCATAATAGGCTCTTGCTAAAATGGGGATTGTGTGATGGTTTGATGTTTGCAATTCACTGCCCTGGAATGTACGGCATTCAATCTCCTTTTTTTCGTTTATTGAAATACTTATTGTCATGAGGATTCCTGTAATGTATTGGCAGTAGCTTCCGTATGCACATGTGATTTAACTTGGTTGGAGTTGGTGGAGGAATTCTTTTTTTAACCGAAATGATAACTGCTTTTTGCTTGTTTATTTTCTTGGCTCTGTGTGTTTGCCTTTGTCTTTGTGTATGGGGAGCGCTAGAGTAGCGGTTAGTGTGCTGCGCTACGGACCCGGCAACCCGAGTTCGATTCATGCTCACGGCCAACACCAGTGACGATTATCTGAACTGGTCCTGGTTATCCCTTAGGTCGACTTAGCCTCAAATGAGTACCTGGTGCGGTGTGTAAACATCACCACTTGGGAGACAAAGGGTGTCGAACGTGGTGTTGGCCACCCACCCCCTCGTGTGCCGTTCTGGCCTTAATAGGTCCTCGCTATCAGCACTTTCCCCAGCAGTCTGTTAAGGCTACACGGGGGATGTCCGTCTTTGACTTTGTGCGTGTGTGCAGCTTCGCGACACCAAGTCAGCAGACCAAAAACAAACACTCCTTCACTTTCTGGCCGAGGTTTGTGAGGCCGAGTACCCGGAGGTGCTCAAGTTCACCGAGGACCTGAGTCACGTGGAGAAGGCCTCCAGAGGTGAGCAAAACCCGCAAGCCTTCCGTTGCTTCGGCACGTTGCACGTGCTGATGTAAGTGCCCACATTGCACGTCCAAATAAAAAAAAAAAAATTTACACACCGTCTGAAAAGGTTTCGTCAGCTTCGGAATAGTTCACAGGTAACTCTGCTTCAATTTGTTTGGCCTTCAGAAGGCGAGTACATTTTTTGCTGCGAGGCATGGCTAGCTAATAATTGGACTTTTACAATGTACACATCTAGGTCCGTTCATAGCATTTTTTGCAAACTACACCGGCTCCATTTAAAAAATGTGGAATTTTTGTTATTTGCATTTCCTTGCCGCCGAGTCATAAAAATAACCTTGAACCCGGAACATTACTTGCTTCGATTTGCCGTTCGGGCTGAAGAGAGACCGCATGTACGGAGAATACGTGTGGTCTTGAGAATATTTTTTTATAAAATAAGTGTGGCCACCTATTGCTAGGCATGTTGCAAACCCATGTTTAGGTACTAATAATGAAAAACAATGATTTTTCATTACTTTGACTATTGAAAAAGCAGTAGGTATGAAATTGCATTTCTTTATAATCCATTCATAACATACTGTAATTGACATTTTCAGGATATATATTATATTTACCTGCTTGTTTTTTTTAGATGATCAAAGTGATATGCAGTAGTTTAAAGTGTTTATTTGGCATTGCATTTATTCTCCAGTCAAATTTAAATCAACTAATTGCCAGTCAAGCAACGAATTGCAGGGGACGGAGCAGTGAGCCAGTGGTTAGCACACTGCTACCCGGCAACCTAAGTTTTAATTCCTGTTCACAGATAACAAACATCTGTGTCAGGTGATATCAAAACCAGTCATGGAAATGCAGCTCACTCCCCCTCCCAGATCTGCACCTCAACTCACACTGACCAGTGTGGTGAAGTATGGTCAACCCCCAATAACCGACAGCATGGAAACGCCCTCATCCAGCAGTAGATTGACAAAGGGCTGTAAATCAGTTATCATTCATTTTCTGGTCACATGTTTGTCTTTGATAAAAGCTGCATATTCCTGTCCCATGTCTTTTCAAGCAGCCTCTAATTTCCATCCTGTTTTACATTCACATTGTGAGACTTTCCTCTGTTATTATCCAACGTGTAATAGCCCTTTACGCATTTTCAAAGCACTTCACCTATGCTGTTAAAACTCTGCAATTATTAAATCTACCGTAACAAAAATAATATATTTTTTTATTTTTTTCTAATAATTTCTCCATACAAAAAGCAGTCACCTTGAATAAGGACACAGGTTTCAAGCGTGCCCTGTATTAAACAAGAAAATTAGTTGCTGATCAGAAGTATAATCTCATTTTCCTTGGTCCGCTACTGTAACAGAATTGCCACATAATTCTTATCGATCACAGCGCTATGGCTGTTAGGCATGCTGCCTCCATGCTACGGTCACCCCTAGGGTGACTGCAGATTATCAGTCCACAAACGGTCCATTATAACCCTGCATAATTCTCATTGTCACATAAAATATATCAAAACTACGAGGTGCGCAATGATTATTTAGAAAATAAGATGATTTTACAAATGTAAAATGTGCCATCACTCAGCCGTGTCACCAGGTCCGCGACATAGCCCAGCTTGTCGTGCGTTGGCTCTTTTTCAGAATCGGAATCAGAATATATATTTTTTTTATACTGGAGGAATTCTATAAGCTATAAAGCTCTTTTTCACAAATGTCCAGTCAAGGTTGACGGTTTGAGCCCAGTGGCCGCCCTGGTTAACATTGTGGGTAGATTAATAATTCATATGCCCTGTCTGTTTACAGAGAATTATTAATGCATTTGTCACCAACATGCTCCGAATCAGGACAATTGAACACCGTTCTGGTCCCAGAACTTAAGACTCGCACATTTAATTAATTTAGTATGAAAGTGGTACTTCCAATTAGCACGGTTGGCTATGTATGGTGCGAAAGAAGTTCAAACATCGATACAGAGGAATCCCCCACGCCTTTCGTCACCTCTGGCCACCATTTCCTGAATAGTGGGGCTGTCAGATCCCAGGGTGCAGGTTCGTCACAGTTCCATTTGAGCTAGTCACATTGGTCACCAACACGCTCCGAGCTAAGGCTTCCTGGAAGACTTAAGAAAGGGAGTTTCCAGTGAGATACTGAAAGGTGTTAATCGTGGTAATCATCTACCTGCAGAAGGACAGCATCCACATGTATCCACACCTATACAACCTCTTGATAAGATTAGGGTCCAGGGGTGGGGGGGAGGGCCTGGAGAGATCTGTGGCGAAGGTGGTTCAAACATTCAAGGAACACGTGTTTGCCCTGAATGGCCTCGAGTGCAGTTTGCGACCGACAAGGAAGTTGAAAGACCCATGAGCCGTGAGCGACGCAACCCTGGGGAAGGGTTTTTTTCCCACAGTGAAGAAGGTCGGTCTGGCTGCCTCAAGGCAGAGGCGGTCAGATTGTTGGACAACGAAGGGAGGGGGGCGCGAGGTGCTTCCTAGTAGCGCTGGGCCATATGGTGGCGACAGTAGACAGGGCCTCGCGACGGCTTCTCCAAACGGATTGAGACCCCCCCGCGGGGGCGCTACACGAGGAACTCTGTTTGTGATGCATTCTCAGCCGGGACCTCCTGCGGTGGCTCTCGGGTCTCATCGCCTTGCAGGAGGACATTCCCCGGGATGTTTCTTCAAGGAGCCGGCGGCAGAGATGTCTGCAAGCCCCGTTCATCTGGCTGGGGGGGGGAGCATGCTGCCACAAAGCAGAGCCCTTTGCAAGGCATACGTAGGGCGGAAACAAGACCTTTTGAATACATGGTCAAGCTTTAGGGTTTTGGTTCATCTAGGCCCTTTCAACATTTGTGTATCTTTGTGCACTTACCTTTTTCATGTTTTATCGTGCTCCTTGCTGTTGCGAGTGAAAACTGAAGAAGTGTACCTTCCGGCCATAAACTCCAGATTAGGAGAGGAGGGAGGGGATTTAAGGGAAGTTCCAGCACGGAAATTGTAGGTTGCTACGGCAACTGCTTGCCAATATGAAGATCGATGCCGCTCACGTGCTTTTGCTAGTGTCTGGGGGGACCCGGGCACTAATGAAGATGAAAGATCGGCACAGTCTACGACCGACACGGTTTTGAAGTTGAGGAACGGAGGATTGGGGAGGAATGGGGAGAAAGGAAAAAAACCCGAGAGCTGCGGAAAGCCAAATCCTATTAGTAGAGTGCAGCATCTGGACGCCCTCCCTGACACTCTGCACGCTCTGCATGCCACCACGCAGATATCGGCTGTGAAGCCTTCCTTCGCAATGCCATACGATCAGTTAGCGCCCGTCCCGTCGAGGCTTCTTGTCGTAAACGGAACACTCATTAACGTTACAAATGCGGAATCCACCGCACATGTAACCCCCCCAACTGCCGATCCACGGCCTGCAACCACAACCTTCCTACGTCTCACACCACCCGGCCCCACCAGTCTACCTGCAACCATGAGTCTCGCACACCATTCTACAGAACTCTGTATTTGAAGTCTCTTGCGCATTTGTTAGTTTGTTTACTGTTATTTCTTGAATTGTACAGTTTGTTTTACGTAGTTTTTCCTTGTTAAACGAATTCATTGGTTGTGTGATGTAACGGCAGTGGTGCATAAATAACAAATAGCATTTGTCAATAACATTGCCTCCAAAATAAAAAAATATATACAATAGTGATGTAAAGGGCCTTCATCACAGCCATTCTCTGCCCCTCTAGCCTCTTGTGTGCTGTGAAGAAGGGCCCTTGTCCGAAACGTTTTTTCTTCCTTTATATAACCTTGTAAACTTTTCAATAAGCTGAATATACTGTATACGATATGGGCAAGCAGCTTATTTTGGTGGTATTCTTGCTCTGTCCTTTAAACACGTAGTATGTCTGCGTCAGCATAACGGCACCCAAAAAGGTTTCTCTTTAACATTTAATGCTGTTTGATGCAAAATAAAAGAACAGGAGAATGCTTGCTACATACATACTGCGGCCCGCCAGAGGGCATGACAAAATGACAGGATAGACTGGTCAGCATTCCCTGCACCCAACTCTTAAATCCTCTCCCCCCCCCCCCTCCGTGTGATTGCCGTTGCTCAGTGTCAGCCGAGAATCTCCAGAAGAATCTGAAGCAGATGGAGAATCAGATCGAACAGTTGGAAAAGGACATCCAGTCCTTCCCATCAACCGAGGACGTGAATGACAAATTTGTTGAGAAGATGACAATATCCTTTATGCGTGTGAAATGTGTGTGGGGTTTATGCATTGATGGTTCCCTTTTTATATTTCTTCCCTCGTGTGGAAGGGACAAAAACACGTGTTGTATAGTATTTGCCGGGTAGAGTTTACGAAAAGTGATGCTAACTACCCTGTTATAAAAATAATTCATACTTAAATTTTGATTTAAAGCTTTTGTGACTGCAGGGATTCATCTTCTTGGTTCTTTCGGTAAAGTCACGTAGAAGGGAAATAATAAAGTAATAGAAATAGAACATAATAAAATAATTCTAATGACGTTTCCATACTTATTTAAAAGTATGGAGGCTTGAGTTAAAATTCAGAAAACAAATTTACATTGGTATTAACTTTTTGTAAAACTGAAAGTACGTATATCTTTTTTTCTTAATCTTAAACTCATTATTCACTTGGCTGTAAAAAATACATTATTCTATATACATATATATTAAGGTCATAAAACCGAGAGACGTTTTTTTTCGCCGTCTGTCGCCAAACAACAAATAGTCATTGCACACGCAAATAACACATTCTGGCACCAAAATATCGCTGCAGATGACTGAAAATAACATCATTAATACTGCAGAAGAACTTTGCACAAAACAAAGGTTATTTAATATACAGCCATTAGGTTATCGCGCCAAGGAAATGGCTTTTTGATGGCCTGCCAGATTTGACGCGTTCATTAATCCTCGGGTCTAATTCGCCAGTTTGAATCCGCAGCACGGCTTTTCCCCTGCTGGCCCTAATCAGATTCCACCATGTTGGAGGGGTAAAAAAAAAACTTAAGAAAATCCGCCACTGCATCGGTGGTATTTTTAGGTTCTTAATTCTGTGTGCAGCATTTGACGAACAAGCGCCCGACATGTCACTGTGGCCTTATTTGGTTTTCCTCTCACCAGTCCCATGGCTCTTGGCGATTCTCTTCTTAATCTGCCGCCCCCAACCCCCCCCCCCTCTGCCTCACAACTTTTCCCACCCGACGTTCATCCGTGCGCCTCCGCTGCCATTCCACTCACCATTTCACCACAATCCTTAACTCGCCATCTTCGCTGAGCGGTAGTGGACAACTGCTGTTTGTGGCTTGGTTTGCCATGAGAAAGAGAGTCGGACATGCTTATGACAAATGAATGACTTTCCAGAGAGTGAATGTGTTGGGTAGCCTTGAAAAAGCAATTGATGCCTGTTCTTATCACCTCAACGCAAATCTACCCAGAAAAAATCAATTTCCAAACCTTTGCCACATTGAAATGGCTTTCCTGGTTTTTTTTAATAAATAGGCACACAAATGGAATTTCGAATACCTAATGGTTGTGCATAGGTCATCCTCCGGTTCTTACATCAAGGTTTTGTTACAGGAACTACTTGCAAGATACTGGGACCGCACTATTAAAGATGATTCTCTTATAGCTGACGGCAATGCGATAGTTTTATGGTCCTTTTTGGAATCTGGATTTAGTTTTTTGTATCCAGTATTTTATAATACTCTGCAATAATTTTATGCATGCTGCAGACGCATGTTAATTTTAATGCCGGATGGTGAATTGAGAAGCAATGCTATATTCCCAGTGGTTGTAATTTGGCATTTCTTTGATATTTTTTGTGTGCATATGCTGGTATTCAGTAATTGACATTTTGTTTCGGAGAACAAAATGTTTCTGCATTTGAGTTGACTGCATTGCTGTATTTAAAAACAATTACGATGATACGTCTCTTTATGCATTGTTAAGATACATCTATTTGGATGCTGGTCCTGGAAAAGGTCCCATGATTTAACATATTGATGATATACATCTTAATAAAAAAAAAACATGGCTAGTGATCAAAAGTTTGACACAACTAATTGATTAGTATTTGAACTTGGCAAGCTTTTTGGGATTTGGAGAAAGAAAAAAAAAGTTTGCAGGTATATGCAATCCAATCTTTAAAATATCGCTTAAGGTCCCTGCCTGATGAATTGATACAGCCAGTCTTCACTTTCGAAATTTAATTGCGTTTCTGTTGATTTGGTTTCTTGCTCGCTGTTTTGGCTGCCCGAGAACCACCGAGGCTCCGGCAAAAAGGGGGCCTTCTCTGCATGGCCCTCCTGCCGCCCACCTCCTCCTCTGGCGCACTCTTTTGCTCCTTGACTCTGTTTTTTTTTGTCGGCGGGGGCCAGCATGGCTTTGTGGAGAAGGCGCGTGAGCAGTACGGTCGCTTGGCGCTCATGTTCGACAACATGCAAAAGCTGTTCGATGGCCTTGGGGAGTACTTTGTTTTCAATACCAAGAAGGTCAGCGTGGAGGAGTTCTTTGGAGACCTCACCAACTTCCGCTCTATGTTCATGGTGAGTCGCATCTGTCACGCATTCGCAGTCCACCGTTGGTGCAGTTTTTGTTGTAATTATCGATTGCAGCGGTTGGTTTGTTGTAGTCATCGTTCATTCCCACGTTTATTTTCGGTTGCGTGATCTTGATTGATGTAGCTGTTTTGATTCCATTAATTTAGATATCAAGTTTTTCGTCATTCTCCAAAATGTGTTATTGTCCCAGTGAGCAATGCCATCTGCGTAATTATGTACATAAACACAATTATCAACGTTATAGCGATCGTTATCTTTATGATTATTGTAAAGTTTCTCATGCATTTCCAGGCGACAGTTACAGTTCTGATATGTACCATTAGCAAGAATACATTAGTGATGCCTTTTTTTGTTCGCGTATAATTATTTTTTTGGCTCGTGGCCTCCACGCTCGACACTTTGTGAATTTAGCCTCGGCGATGGCAAAGCTTGTGGGTAACGAACATCAACACTCCGTTTCTGATTTGAAAACTTTACCGGCCATCAAAAGGAATGCATCGTTCACCGAGCTTGTATTTTAGAAGGGGGAATTACAATGAGAGTAATGATCGTGAGTCGTAGATTTCAGCGATGGCTCGAAATGTGGCCTCATTATGTTCAGCCCATTCTCCAAATGGTCACATGGGCAGCAAAGACGCTACCGTTGGAGCAGCTCTGCCTGTCAGTTCTGCCCGCTGGCTCCTCTGCGAATTCAAGTGATCATCTGAAAGCGTCGACACGTATTGTTATATTGCCTCTTGCCTTAATTGGTCACGGTGACCCGTTGAATTACTTCTTCTGTTTGGATACATTTAATGCAACCATATTGTCCCTGGCTGAAGGCGGCTTTAGCATAATTTGTTTTCAATCCATTGATTAACATCGGTTTATAAGGAAGGTTTTTTTTTTAGTTACAGCATATTGGCGCTTCACAATGGCAGTAGAAAATTATATTGTGACCTAATGTTCCCTGCAATGGTTGACGCAGAAACATTGTCAGTGGTATCCGTGTCATCACTTGGCAAACAATGCACCTGCAACAATAGCCATTGCGCAATACCATCATACCGAGTTTCCTAGGCGCAAAGGCTGCACGTGGACACACAGCAGGAGAGCAGCACATATCTTCACATGCTCAACGGACGTGCGCACACACACACACACACTGGGAGTATGTCCTCTTAATTAAATGCTAGGTAAAATGCCAGTGCGAAATGTCACAAGGAGAAAACATGACTTACATGGTGCATGCTGAAAACTTCAATGGCCATAATGACCCGCTTAGCCCAATGCCAACTGTTTGAATTTCAATTCCTTGCATGAGACCTCCACTGCATTTGTTATGCACAAGCGTCTGGCATTTAAGAAACCCTGTTATTATTTTCCGCCCTTTTGCTTGTGGCTGTTTAGCGCTGAAATATTGTCTGGCTCGTGCAGCCGATCGAGAAGAAATACGTTCAATGTTGACTTTTTATTGCTGCTTGCTGTTATTATTATCATCGCCAAACTAAAAATAACACCTTTGGATTGTATTTGTTGAAGGGGAGGCGGGGGTTACGGCAACTTAGATTTTCGTCCGTGAAATTGTGTAAAAAAAATAATTATATACGTTACCGTGTTTTGCACAAAACTGCGTGAAGCCACCAGTTGGGTGTTAAGAAAACACTCACTTAAACGTGGGAAAATAATGCGTAACCAACAAACTCTTCATTGCATTATTGTCTCCAGCGTGATTTTCGCAGGCACCTGTTTGTGGTGATAAGTGGTCCTGGAATACAAGGCAGGGTTTTAAAATTCGTCAATGAGATTGACATTAACTCCAAATTTAATAGGCAGGAGCAAAAGCAGCTCCAGCTGTGTTCAAATATTTTGCGTTCGACAGACGTTATCTTTGCACTTGCGAGCACCACGACAGAGGCGAGTTTTTGTTCTCGGGGAAGAACTGAGAAATACTTGATATGTACGGAACATAAGAGTAGAGCATAACATGATATTTGCAGTACGTGTAATGAGATACATATTTTATTTGGTAAAGGAATGGAAATGTAATATTATATTACTACTAACCTAAAATTACCTTTAAACGATGCTGAATATTTAATAAAGCTTCATCATCAGCACACTTGTACCGTAGTATTACATAGTCCAGTAGTAGTGCTGCAAGCCGCTCTGTTAAACTAATGCACAAGTCAACCAACAAAACCCAGTGTGACGAAGTATGGTCATGTAATTCTGATGACTGACACAAAACCAATCAAACCTGTTGTCTGCTTCTTTAATTCATCGTTTCGATTCTGGCCATCCTTAAATAACTCACCTAATCCTAAATACTGTGATGTGTTTTGTAGTTATGTCTCTCCGGCAGATATTATTTTGACTTTTGTTTTGCTCATGTTTATTTTTTAGCCTATATTTGCAGCCTATGGAAGAAAGTGTTAACTCGGTGTGTATTACCTGTTATGATACGGATCAGAAACATAGGCATTGAGAAAGAGAATGGGAAAAAAAATCCCCAAAGAATTACAGAGAAGGTGCATGCGTGAAATTACACTGAGAGACGGTAATAGGAACACATGGATCAGGGAACATACGCACGTTAGAGACATCTCCTTGACTGTTGAGAAAAGTACACGGGCTTGGGCAGGACACCGCTCAAAGGGATGATGGTCGAGACTAACAATGGAATGGCAGCCAAAGGGATAGATTAGCTCCTGTCAATTGTGACATCGCAGGTCCACGAGGGATGGTGACGTACGCACCTTCTTAGTTCCTAACAAGTCACACCCCTCCCGCAGAAATTTAGAAGATACATTTTTGCCCTGATCGGTCAAAAGACTCTCGGGGGCACCCTTGTCCATCACGTAGCCATTGAGGAACTCCTCAGAGATGGCCACTGCCGATTGGTTGGGGAGAGTGTGAGAAGTACTCTACGCCGACTAACAAATATTTATTTTCATGAGGGGTGGTGGGAAATGGACCAAGGATATCGAGAGAAACCATTTCATTAATGCGGGAGACCTGAATAAATTGCAACGGCGGACAACAGGGCCTGGCTGGGCTATTCCGCCGTGCACATTGTACAAATAATTTTCATAAATCTGCGACGTCCTCCGTCATGCAGCCTCCTCCGTCTTCCCCCAATGAAACTTCTGACCCTTAGCCGTCAAGGCGTGGAGGGGTTTCACGATGGTAGCGAACCCGGCGACAAAACGGCGATAATAGGATGCAAATCCTATAAAACTCCCCCACAGACGTGGGGGTTCGGCCAAGTCCGGACACACGCGGTTGTGTCGGGGTTCATCGCAATGCCCGATTTACTGACTATGCCCGAGGTACCGCACGAAGTTTTGAAGAAGGGTACACTTTTGTGGCTTAAACTTGAGATTAGCCACGCGCAATTTTAGAAAAACAGCACGTAAGCGATCAAGATTTTATTTGAACGTACGGCTGAAGACGATAACATCGTCAAGGTAAATTAAGCATGAGTTCCAGCTAGGACCAGCTCCATTAATGGTTGGAACGTAGCCGGCGTGGAGTGGAGCCCGATCGGAAGCCAATTGAACTCGAACAGGCCCTGAGGTGTCCAAAAGGCTGTTTTGGGCCTAGAGGCTTCGTTCAATGGCAACTGCCAAAATCCGGACAGGAGATGAAGGGTAGAGAAGTAGTGGGCACCCGCTAGGGCGTCCAGGGTATCATCCATCCGAGGAAGAGTATAAGCGTCCGCTTCGGATACCTTCTTGAGCTTTCGGAAAACGACACAGAATCGCAAGCTACCGTCATGCTTTTTAACAAGGACGATAGGGGCTCCCCAGGGGCTGGTGGATGGCAAGATGATGTCAGCGGCTAGCATCTCATCAACTGCTAGCCGTACATGGTCCTTCTTCGCAGGGCTCAGCCGATAAGGGTTCTACAGGATGGGAGCGGCGTCGCCCATATCGATATGGTTGCTCAAAAGTGTGTTACGGCCAATGTAAAATTTCCTTGTACTAAAAACATGGGCGAACTCGCATAAGAGCTCCCCCAACTAATCCCTTGGGATTCGGACAAGTCCACACACTCTGAAAACAGCGATGTCAACCATCTGTCATCCGGACCCTTACGCGGCGGTGCGTTCGACTCGATCACCACACCCCCAACAACACATCCCTCGTGAGTGCGGGCGACGCATGGGCTAACACGGTGCCCTCCTGAATGATGGATGTGTCCAACCCAGCTTTGAGATCCTGGATGAAGGGTTCCTGGTCGTTGGACACCAGGGTCCGGGCTCCAACTAACGTCAATCCCTTAGTGGCCTTATTGGAGGGTCCCAAGAGGATCCCTCCCACCGTCGCCGTCTGGTCTAATGGCTTGCACAAGCGTAAGGGAATCAACATTTGTGTGCTAGGAGGAATCCGAACATTCTTTTTACGCCAGCACTTGCACGGTGGCGTTGGCCGTGCGCATCCAAACGACGGCCTGACGGCAATTCAATGCACCCTTGGTCAATGAGGATTTTCACCGGCATTCTACCCAAAAAATCAGTCACGAGCAAACATGGAACCGCAAGGGACGTCGATAGGAGAACCGGTCCCTGTCAATTTGGCATCGCCAATACACACCTGCGCCGAAATTTTGCCAATGATGCCCAATGAGCCGCCGTTTACGGCGAAGCACGGAACGTCAACGGGGCATAGTGTACGACATTTAGTGGGCAGAATGTTATAAATCAGTTAAGAAATGATGGTTGCTGACGCACCAGTGTCGACGAGCATCCTGATTTCTACCCCCTCGATTGAACTAACAACAACAGACGAATTCGCGGTCGCGGCAACCACTCTATGGGCCAGCTCCGACCACTGACCCGGCCAGAGTGGCCTGTCAGCCCAGTGACCTTCCGAAGTGCAGTGGAGAGGAGGGCAGGCGGGCGGACGACGGCAGTGTTCCCAGGAGGCGAGTTCGAGGCGCAAGGCAATCCCACGCGTTGTGTCCCGGCAGGCTGCAGTTAAAGCAGGCGGCGAGGCTGCGGCCCGGATGAGGTGTTGCCCTCCCCCGGTGTTGGGAGTCATCCCGGCACGCCATGCCGTCTCTTTGCCAACCTCCCCCTTGAGTTGACGCGCAGGCTTGAGCCGGCTCCGTGACTTTAGATGTATCCCGCGCCTCGCAAGGTGGGATACACACTGCCAAAACCTTGTTTCGGTGCAAGAGCAGGTGAGCCTGAATGCTCTTAGCAACTTGTAGGGAACACAGGTCATCGTCGTCGATGGCCGGAATGACGACGCGGAGATCCCTCGCAAACTCCAGCAGCTTCTCCAGGACCAGGGAGTCGAGACCCTCCTGGTCCATCCTGGGAAAGGCTGCCTTCGCCAACGCCAGCAGCGTGCTGCGGAAGGCGAGGGCGTCTTGGCCTCCCCCCGCCTCTGTGCAGTGAAGCGATGGCGCGTGTTGGACGGTGGCCCGTAGATTGCCGCCATCTGTTTGAGCGCCTGCTGCAGTGTAGACCTGTCCCCCGGCGGGATGGTGATGAACGCCGCCAGGGCATCGTCGTCCAAGGTGGCGGGAAGCGCCCTCGTCGCCTCCGCCTCCGTCCACCCCGCCATTTTGCTGTTGGAGAGGATGCGCCGCTGGAAGGTCGCCCAGTCGCCTCCAGCGGCTGAGAATTCCTTGAGGGCGGGTAGTCAGCATTGGAGAGGTGAGGCGGACACCAGCGATCGCGGTGCAGCCTCAGAATTGGCAGGAACTGCGCTCTCTTGCATAAACAAAATGGCGGCCGCTTGCACGGGGTGCGACAAGGAGGCTCCTGATTGGCAGGAGTCTCGGGCGGTAACCACGGACGCTCCTGGTTGGCGGGAGCTTTCGGCCCGAAACCCGAAACTTTCGGCGGAAATCCCAGCACATCGATTCTTCGGGATCCCAACAACAGCCGGTCCCACTGGCTTGCTCCGCCCCTAGCCACGGCCTCCTTCTCGAACTGTCGAGGATCTCGCTTGGACATGTGGTCCCCCCAGCCCCCCTTTTGGGGGTCCCTCAGGTGGACGCCCTTAGTCATGTGTCCTCCGGGGTCAACCAGAGTGCCATGGCCCCGTGGAACTCCGTTCCCGAAACCGGCACCCCCCCAGCCCCCTATCTTCTAGGGCTGGCATTGCACCCAGCTCAGGGTGCCACCGGTTGCTGTCAGTCCGTGCTGGCAGTCCATTGTGTGGTGTGCTTTTACCAGGATGGCCATACACACACACAGTGACCTCTAGCGATGTCGCTACAATTTTAATCCACACAACCATCCTAATTGTATTGACGATAACATTTTGGTGATTCTCAAAAATCTAACTATTTACTTTCAACATATTGCAATTCGATTTTGACACGTGTTTTATATACTCCCACAATCATCGCTGTAAGCATGTAATAGTTGGCAGCATCCGCACTGCACAGAACATGTACCTTCCGGACTGCAGATTTATTCACGCCGGTTTTATTTCTATTGGCCAACTGGCTAACCTAGGAGCGAATGGGCCTGACTTTGCAAGAGATTAACTTGTTTACAGGCACTAATCCGGTGGGTAACTCAGAGTGTGGCCTTATCGATATCGCTTTAATCCTATCCAGTCTGAGCACGATGCAAGCGCTTAGGCCACAGATTGAGAGGAGAAAGTAACATGCCGTGAACTGCCGAGGGAAGATATTCATCTGCCAAAATGCATTCCTGAAATTGAGATGGCCACATTGGGATGAATTCTTGAGCATGAAAGCTATAGTTTTGTACAAGGCATACAAAATATATATGTTCTTCCCTTCGCAAAGGCAGCCAGATGAAACGAAGGGCTTGCGCACGAGTGTCCCTTAACCTGGTGGCAGGTGTGATCTTTTGGGCCTTTGTCTGTCATCACCTTTTCATTTCCTGCTATACCACTTACAGACTACCTTACAGCGGGAGCTACTGGATGGCTATGGCAATTAAAGCCTGAATTAAATCTATTTTAGGACTGAATACATCCACAGTGTTGTGTGTGAGCATATATGCATCGTATATGAAATGAAACGGTAATATTTATAAATGGTACAAACTGGCTTGCAATACATTTTATAGCCAGATTGCACCGGAGCCCATCCCGCACTTGACAGTCACCTTCCCAGCTGTCGTCTTCAGTTATCACTGTGCAGCGGGGTCAGCATTCTGTCAGAAATACTAATTTAGACAGATTAACGGCCAAGAATTTTCAAGCAACAGCGAGATGCTGTAATCCCTAAGAGGAGAAGCTGCACGGCATTGCATGTGCGTGTAAATAAAGCATGATCCGCTGCATCATCACACTGCAACTATTGCCTGTTGTTTTAATGCTGCGTGTTTGCTCGCCAGATTCAATTTACATCAAACGGCACTGCAGTATCAGGCAAGCGGTGTGCTTCATGCCAGGTCACAGATCAGCCCCTTCAGTATTTAAAGCGAGTGACCTTAATGCAAGCGTGCTTTTTTCAGCAACTAATCTCACCTCTGTGAAGCCGTGAGCATGTGTGGATCAGGCTTCAGCATGCCGACAACCCACCCCGTGGCCCGTACTCCGATAATTGCGGGCAGCCCGGCATCGTTAATGGCACTTAGCGTCTAATTAATCACTGCTTGCATTCCCTGCACCTCATTATGAGTTGTGCAGGTGGCCACGATTTTGGATGGTCTTTCACCAGCTCTCAAGAACATTGCATCACACTAAACTTCACGGTTATATCCTAAACATGAATTTTAAGCAAGAATTTAAAAATATAGCTGACTTGTGAAAATAGAGCATTTGCATGGAGTTTCATATTGTGTAAGTTGTCTGAATTGTTCATCACTGTCTAAACGATATTCACTATTAAATTAATCCCATGTCTTGAGTGATTTTTCATTCAATATAAAGAAAAAAAATAAAGCAAAGAAAGAAATAATAATTGAACTAAAATATCTGCCATTTATTGGGTATTGGACAGATTTTTTTTATATCCTCAATCTGAAGTGAATTGGAAGCACATACTTATTACCTTGATTCTTGCAATGTATGAAAAGACTTAGGGCTTTAGCGAAACGAGGGAGGGAATTATGGGATTGACAGCTTGATGACGAAATTGATGTCCTCATTACCTGCGCTCGTTTTTGCCAATTTGCACTGCCTCCCGTGCGGGGAAAATGTGCTCAGTGGAAGCAACGGGAGGCCGGCTTTATGACGGAGGGATGCACGGAGTACATGGGCCCATGCAAGTGCATGCCCGCAGTGCCTCACCATATCTCTCGCTCTTAATTTTACGTGTAATTCACTTTCAACTGCATTGTGTCCTCTTATTTTCCTGTTTACTGGCATTTGGAATCGAGACGTGTGCAGGATTTGTAATGCGCCGCAGGTACACCTCCTTTCAGTTGCCTTCACGTGGCCCCATTTTTCATACTCGAGTGTCCAAAGAAATTAGGGATGCATTCAAAAGCACCGTTGTGGCAACCAGATGCTGGCTCTTCTTCAATTCGTGTGCACTAACGGAAAACAAAATCAGACAACTGAGGGAGCATTGAACTTGGCAGATGCAGCAGTTGGAAGCAGAATTCTGCACTTTCCGGAGCCTGCCTGAATCCTACTGGGACCCTCGGTGACTCTCGTAAACTTTTTCAAACCAGGAGGAAGGCAAGAAGGCCCTCTAAATTATGCATGATTTGATCTGCCTCTGTCTTTTCCGGTGCGCTTTCTGAGAGATGTTTTGAAATGTTTCTTCACCCTTTGCAAAAGGGCAGTCTACAGTTGATATTTAGACAAGGAGTTAATGGAAATTCTGGTATTTCTGTTGCTTTTGTTATTGTTTTTTATCCCTTACTCCCCTTTTCATATCATTCATTCCTCTTTGTCTTTGAAGTGTTGCAAAATGTAATCGTATGTTATGGTTTGCACAAGGTTAGGAATAGTGCAGTTTATTTTTCTTTAAAAAAAAAAGCAAATAAAAAATGATGACAGCAAAAAAAAGAAATTCTTATTAGTGTGTGCTTGGGTACCCTGCTATTCATGGTTAATGGAATGCATGTTGTCTTCTGTTGGGTACTAAAGCTTCTATTTGTCAACATCTTTTTTTTCCCCCCTCTGTGATGAAACCCTGTCCCCCCTGCCCCATGGGCCACCAGCAAGCGGTGAAGGATAACGTAAGACGGAGAGAGGCGGAGGAGAAAATACAAAAAGCACAGCTCGCCAAAGAGAAGGCTGAGAAGGAACGACTTGAGAAGCAAACTAAAAAGCGGTTACTAGAAGGTATCGCGATTGTCACATTTCATATGTATATACGTGCATATATGTACGGTATGTTTTTTTCAGTTTTCCATTTGGTACTCTTTTTCTTTTCAAGTATTTTTTGGTGGGTATTCAAGATTCTGCTTAAGGGTTGTCCATGTCGGCTCGATGCCCAACATTTTGCTTCATGTGCTGTGGGAGTCTTTCAAAGAACTGATCTCAGTTACTGAAGATGCATTTATGAATGTTGAACTTCTTTCGCACTGTACGTAGCCAACCGCGATAATCGTAATTGCGGGGGAAGGACAACAAACTGAACACAAAACGCTGTTCTAAAGAAATGGTTTTCAATCTGGTTTTAAAAGTGAATAGCTCCAGCGGCTTCCTAATATCGGAAGGAAGAGTGTTCCAGACGGCCAAAGAAGCGCACCTGAAAGCGCTGGGCAATGCGGTGACCACGGTCTTTGTTCTATGGAGAGCAAAAAACCGCTGCTGCGAGGATGATCCCATCGTGCGCAGAAACTCCCAATACGTGGAGAGAAACGTCAGATATCGTATAAATCAACGCTGGCATACAACCCGAAAGAAACGTCGAAAGGCTATATGTTTGTTTAAGCATTGTCGTTTTAATCTTTCAAAGAATCAAACGGACAATAGAGATGCATTTATTTTGAATTGTTCACCAAATATCTTGTCAATTGAGATCTTCCTAACCCCCCCCCCCACCCACCAGAAAAATGATAACAATGCGGAAATCCATAAGATTAAAGGGATTGTGTTGTGAATCAATTGTTACCATATTCCATGAGCTAGATTACTGTATGCTGCACTATATGTGTAGGGTTTCTACTGAAACGTAAGATTGCTTTGTGACGTTAATATGAATTAAAACTGTCAGCCACAATGTAATTTAATGTACCCTCAAAAGCAAAAATGGTTTGTGAATCCGTGTAAAACAACCATGCGTGCGGCATACACAAATAAATGCGTGCTTACACACACAGATGGAGATGAGACAGGTGTCATGGACAGTCTGATGGAGGCATTGCAGTCAGGAGCTGCCTTCAAGAGAAAACGAGCACCTCGGCAGCCAGGTAAGACATCCTTTGTCACTTTCCAATGTTGTATCCTGAAACCGCTTGTTTACAAAACTCCGTGGCTTCTAAAGAAATGCATTCCCTTCATATCGTTACTCCCCCCCACCACATCCCACCTATTTTTACAAAAATATAGACAATTCAAGATAGTCTAGGGGAATAGTAATTTAAAACTGGATCGATGAGGATCATTTTTGGACCATGACAAACCCAGTTCCGTTATGGTGTCCGCGTAACGATCACAACTGGCTCAGCCGGAGTAAGCACTGCTTTATATTATTATTACTACCAACCCCCACCCCCATAAAATGATATTCCAATCGACCTCGTGTCACCGAGATGAAGCTTCCATTCACAGCTTTGAAGTTATCTGTACATCACCCTGTATCGGCGAGCAGCCCTGGAAGTTGACATTATAGAACTACTTAAGTAATTTCAATAGCTTAATTTATCTATACTCAGAGCACACCTGTGAGCACACATTTTTGAGCAGTGCTACTCATAATTACTTTCATAATATAAGGTCACTGGCATTCACTGGCTGCTACAAGCATATGTTGTATTACTTTGAAGTCGTATATATTTGGGCAAGGATAGTTGTATGAATCTTAGGATGTTAGAAAGCAGAAGTGATTGAAGTGAAGACTTAAGTTTGCAATAGCTAGTAATTTAGTATATTTATGTGTGCACATCATATTTGAAGCTGTTTGTGTGTGTGAGGAGCGGTAGTGCAGCGGTTAGCACACTGCGTTACGAACCCGGCGACTCGAGTTGGATTCCTGCTCACAGCCAACACCAGTAATTATTTACTGAACTGGTCTGGGCATCCCCTAGGTCGACTTAGCCTCAAATGAGTATCTGGTACAATGTGTAAACATCGCCACTGGGAAGACAAAGGCGGCCGGGCGTGGTGCTGGCCACCCAGCCACTTGTGTGCCGTGCCGGCCATTATAGGTGGTTTCTAACAGCACTGGCCCCAACAGTCTGTTTAGGCTATACGTGGGATCTTTGTCTTTCATATACACACATAAGTTCACATATCAAAGCTTACTTGATGTTTTAGACATCAAAAAGTTAATGTATAGTCTAAATTCAAGCTGCGTACATTGACAAAAGAGTGCCCTGCAGTAGCGTTTACTAATTATAACATGAGATCCTCCTACCTATCCCTCTGTACTACTCTCCCTCATGGTTCCACTTTCTCTGGCAAGTCTTTTATGAATAAAAAAAACAGATGTTGCTTTGTAAACATGTAAGTTGCTTTTAATGTTCACATTTGCATATGGAGACTTGTAGCATATCTGTAAATATCCAGTGAAATATTGTGTACTTAACACGCAGAGATGGCTCAGATGTGGGAGCGCTGAGCTGGCCAGCCGTTGAGATCTTGGGTTTGAATCCGGGGTTCCGGCGCGCGCAATCAACCAGGGTTGTCATGATTTCTGCATGGTAACCAGTTACCGCTTTCGGTAAAAGAAAAGTTGCTTTGAATTTGATGCCTAACTTAATTTGGCTAATATCGGTTCCGTGAATGGTTTGACCAGTAGGGGGGGTGGGGGAAGTGCTGCCTTCCGAGTTTCTGCATCAAAGGTCACGAGGAGTTCTGAGATGTACACTTCAGTGAGCCATTCTTTCAGCAAGCGGGGTTACGGGGTTAGAGAATTTATGGATGGATTCTTCAACTCATTATATGATCCGGATAGCGCAATCAACATAAAATGGAGAACGAAGGCATGGAAAATAATGTTATTTAAAACGAAACTTTTTATTTTACCAGGTAAGACCCACTTAGCTATATATATCTCTCTTTCAGAAGCAGCCTGACGCACAAATGATAGTTCAACAAACTGGCTTATCACGGGGAAATATTATAGCAGCCAAATACTTTAAAACGCATGTTTCTGAATGTGGAGGGAAAAACCAGAGGATCCGGAGAAAAATCCACGCGACCACAGGGTCGGAATTCCAACCCACAACCTCCTGTATACCAGGGGAGGGAGTTAACATCTCACCACCAGGGTGCCCATACCCATAATCGTTCACTACTCTAATATCAAGCATATTGTCTTTTTCCCCCCTATTTCATTTCCCTGCCTCTCTCCCATTATCTAATTATTTGCATGTTTGTAAATAATTAAAGATTTACAAAATGTGAACATTACCTACACCATTTATCACACAATCTGCTATCAAGAGGAGTGTAACATATCCATTGCACTTTAAAAGTCACCATTATCCCTCCTTGAAGTCTACAGTTGTTTCTCTGTATTAAAAAAAAGATTCATATGGAGCATGGACGAAGGAGTGCTGGAGGAGTGGTCGAGGTGTTATCAATCAATACTTTGGAAATTAGGTTTTAAAACTTTGAGCCCTATTTGATTGGCAGTTGCTGCACAGTCAGCGGTGAGCAGCCATCAGTAATATAAAACCGGATTTCACTCTATATTGGATTTCCTTAGAAGTTGGAAAGGATAAACAAGATGAAGATGCGCGGTGTGTACAATATCATTTCATATAATGCCCATGAGTTCTTCTGCTGCCGTCAGAAAACGATTTGTTATAAATTAGCAGAACGCCCATTACTATCGGCGTGTATAGTAGCTGATTTATAATTATCATTCGGAGCAGTGTTAATTTCAACTGATATCTATTTTCGTTCGTACATTTTTAGTAATGTTTTGTGCTGATTATTCCATTCCATCAACTGGCGGGCATGTATGTAATGTGCTATTTTTATATAGGCCCTCATATGTACATTCACTGGGGTGAAGCGGCAGTATTGTGGCTAGCACACTCCACTATAAACCTGGAGCCCTGGGTCCATGGTTAACATCAGTAGTGAGTGATATTTTAACCGGACCTGGGCCACCCTCCAATCCTTCACCAACTCGTACTGAGCAACGTGGTGAAGTACGCTCAAAACAACCTCCATGGCCCACACAGCACGGGGAGGCCCTCATCCAGCAGTGGATTGACAAAGGGCTGAAAGTGACAGTTATGATTGTGGGGTTGAGAGGCGACGGCGTCTGGAGAAAAGAGTCACTTTTGTGCATTGGTTCTTGTAGTGGCCCACGCCACATTCTTGAGTGCATTTTTTTTTTTGCGTGAGAGACAGCTGCTTCTAAGTACATCCATATATATATTTTAATCTTCACAAATGTGCATGTACGCCCGTTCCTCCACACATCAGAAATATTTCAAAAGCAGCCTGCGCTTATGATGTTTCATCCAGCCACACAACAGTAACCAACCCACACACTCGTTTTCGTAGATAAAAAAAAACCTAAGCAGAGAATAATAGTAGGGTTGATATTTTGGTTGATGTGTATTCAGTGCAATCTAGTTATACAATTAGCTGTGGTCTTTTACACCAAGGACACATTAAAGAGCTGCCTGAGATCTTGTCGCACACTGTAGATAAATCACTCTAATTATGTCAGAGACTGCAATATGCACTGTCTCGGTTGAGAAACTATGAGCAAGGCAGAGTCACAAGCTGGAAAGGAGGCTCTTCCTCCTATATGACACATTGGGTGTAATGGGATCACAATATTGTGCAAGCTGGGAAATCCATAATGTTTGTACGGAACAACGCAATTGATTATTTTGCTAACTTTTAACAAACAGTCTGTACTGAAGAAAAAAAAACACTAAAAGCCCAGTCGGCTCAATTAAAGATTTTTGCAATACACCCTGAATATGTGTTGAGTTTAAACAAAAGTACATTACATATTTCGTGCTAATCGTAGAAATGTTCAAAACAAAGGTTCAAATTTGTAAAAAAATAAAAATGGTGATAATTTCCAGTGCATTAAAAAAAACTTGCATTTGTTTTATTTGGCAGCTCTGGAATCACCCCTTTGGGCCTCCCTCCTCCCCCTCCTTCGCTTGGTGTTGGGTTGCTGTGTATTTTGTGAAAGGCATTCACTGTCATATCTGACGGAATGCGCCTTAGACTTTTCCCACCAGCTGTCATCCATACAGAGACGCAAGAGGAATATTAAAATATTAGAGTCATGGGAGAAACGATGGAGAGAGAATGTTTAGTTGTGGATCGATATGGATGGATTTTTAATAGCTATGGATAGTTAGATTTAGAGATGACTAATTGAATTGGTTATATTTTACAGTATAATTAAATTCTGCTATCAAATTTTTACAGGGAGAGATGGATGCTTGGAATTACATTGAGAGACGGAAGGAGGAACATGGATTAGAGAAACATGTGCAGGTCAATGGCATGATCAGTAATAAGAAACGTTAGTGGCCTTGAGCGGGAGACATCGATAGAGAGAGGAGATGGAGCATTGAAATGCCCTCGTGTTTAGGTGCTGGGCAGATTGTTAAATTACAGGACCATCACAGATGGTAACGGCTTGGAGAGGCATTCATCGAGCAGTGGATTGAGCTAGGCAATGAAGATGATTTTTGTAAGATGTAATTATATCACAGTTAAGGATAGGCATATGACGAATAGAATAATGAACAAATGCGCTCATTTTTTTCTCTCCGCCTGATGACGACCGCTTGTGTTGCGATCGAAACGTCGTGAGTTTTTTTTTTAATGATTTTTAAAAAATTATTTTACATCTACATGACCGAAAGAACCAAAGAATATAAATACGCTCATTATTTTTGTTTGCACAGGCATTGCTTTTTACTGGCCTGCATGCACCATTGCTTGTAAGAGTTTTTTGAAATCTGATGAGATTATGACTCCACATTTTAAAACCTTTGTCGTCTTTCGAGAGCCTTAATGCTCGCCGGCGCAACTCTGAAGTGCTCTTGAATCGTACAATTCGATGTTTGATTTGTGGAATGGACTAAGAATCCCACTCTTCCATAATTACTGTCAACTCTTCCTCTTATCATAGCAAAGGTACAACTGTGTAAATCCCTGTAGTTCTCGCTTGTTTTCCCACCCCAAGTCCAATTTTGTTCCAGTTTATATCTGTATATCCGTCCGTGTGTTGTACGTAGAAATAGTTAAAAGCCAG